TGTCTCTGAATTCACGTATCTTTTCGCACTCCATCACATAGTGACAAGAGGGTGTGCGAATAATTTTGTTGACAGTTTACATTTGGTCAGATCGACATCGGCAGATAATGAGAATTCCCAGAGATACTTGTAACCGAGTCTAAACTGAGCAATAGTAACATCTAGAAGTCTGCTGATTTTATTGGATGAACCATAGATGTGTGGCACCTCTTGCATGATAGTATGATGATAGATGGAATTACTGGTGCCGATTTCACTTTGCCTCAGATCTACAAGATCTTGTTGAAGTTCTCGGTGTACTGCTGCTCTCAGATTGCTCATTGACAATCCAAGGTTACACTCAACGGCTCCTTTAAAGGCAGATTCTTTGGCTAACTTATCAGCTCTATCATGCATTCGGAGGCCAACATGAGATGGAGACCACATGAAATGGACTCTATTACCATCCTTAATAATTTTGTTGTATTTGTGTCTAGCTTCGGACACGAGCATGTTACAGTTATGTCTTAAAGAGTTGAAAGCAATTAAGGATGATTAGGAGTCACTTACAATTATAATTTAAATTTGTGATAATTTGTGCGGAGGAGTGCGACAACTGGATATGCCAACAAACACTTTCCAGACAATGATATATCTTGGATAAGTCGCTCCACAACATTGACGCTTGGACCGTCGACTTCCTTTGATGCCACATATTTACTTATTTCATAATGAAATTATATTATTTTGGAGTAAATATATGTTTTCTCATGTTCTGCATTCAGCACCCATATTATAGTGAGTAAATATACCATATTACTTCATTACTTAATTAATGCTAGGAGGGTTTGAGTAGCTTTGGGTCTTTAGGTGGACAGAATCTCCAATAGATGGGGCGAGAGTCGCCCTGTCGCTCTCGCCCGAGCAAGAGTCGAAACTTAATTTAAAATTGATATATCTTTGTCCTCCAACATGATATATTTCCTTGGGTGCACTCATAATAATGTTCATATCTCGGTCTTTCTGGAGGCATATAAGATTTTAGGCTTTATTAGCGTATCTTTGTTAATTATACAATATATCGGCAAGTGCGTAGGCGTCTGCACTCCATGACCGACAAGCTACTAAACGCCACTATAAAAACATATGTATCTTCACTTGAGCTATAAATATGTCTATTGTAATGTATTTAACATGAAGCTCATATTTCTATCTTTCTTAAGACATATAAAACATTTGTATTTATTAACGAATTTACGTGAAATAAACATTGATCTGAGAGAGAGTTGCTCTGTCATTTAGTCTGTATGGGGTCGGAGCTCCGTAATTTTTAAAATACATGTATCTTCATTAGAACTTTAAATATGTCTATGGTAACGTGTTTAAATTGAAGCTTATATGTCTGCCTTTCTTGAGATATATAAAACATATATGTTAACAAATTCACATGAAATAAACATTGTTCTGAGAGAGAGTTGCTCTGTCGCTCAGTCTATGCAGGAGTCGGAGCTCGGTGATTATTAAAACATGAATCTTCATTAGAACTTGAATTATGTCTATGATAAAGTGTTTAAATGAGCCTTATATTCCTGCCTTTCTTGAGGCATATAAAAAATTTACAATTATTTACAAATTCACGTGAAATAAACATTGTTCTGAGAGAGTTGCTCTGTCGATCGATCTGTCCGAGGTCGGAGCTCGTCTATTATAAAAATACACGTATCTTCGCTTTAAATTTAAATATGCCAATAGTAAGGTATTGAGAACGAAGCTTATATTTCTATCTTTCTTGTGACATATAAAACTCTTACGTTTATTAAGGAATCTGCGTGAAATAGGTATTGTTCCGAGATGAATGCTGCGGGTTTCGAGCTCGACAAGCGATGAAAACTGCCACTTTTATACATCTACAAATATCTTCGGTTTTACTTAAAATATTTGTCTGGTAGAGGTTTTACGTATAGATCGTGTTTCTGTCTTTCTTCTGACGCATAAATAATTTTGGTTTAATAAGTTATCGAGATGTTTTCAACAATATTCTTTCGGCGTTCGTCTTTTCCAACATGGGCGACCCTTTTGGAAACACGATACTTGGGTTAACCCATCCCATAGTTGGGTCTGATTCCAACTGGGATTCGAATATTAACAACTACAGACCTATATCAGTCCTGCCAAACTTGTCAAAAATATTTGAAAAACTAATCTACAAGCAGCTTTACTCTTATCTAGCCAAACACAATATACTTAGCTCTTGTCAATATGGCTTCAGACCTAAAAAAAGCACTAACGATGCACTTATTAGTATGATTAACTTGATACATGCAGCTCTTGATAAAAATGAGTTCCCTGTTGGGTTATTTGTGGACCTGCATAAGGCTTTTGACACTGTCAACCACCAAAACCTTCTTCTTAAATTATATCATTATGGTGTCAGAGGTCACTCCCTGCAATACCTCAAATCTTACCTTACTTACAGGCTCCAGTATATTTCTGTGAATAATTCAATTTCTCCCACCCTACCCATCAACATTGGTGTTCCTCAGGGCAGCATACTTGGCCCTCTCCTCTTTCTCATCTACATTAATGACCTTCCAAATACCTCCCGACACTTTAAACCAATTCTATTTGCTGACGACACAACTTTCATTTATTCCAGTCCTGACCCCCTTGCTCTTAATGTCACAGTGAATACTGAGCTAAATAAAGTCCATCTTTGGCTAGCTGCCAACAAACTCATCCTTAACATTGATAAAACTTTCTATATTTTGTTTGGCAATAAATCCTCAAATCAAATAAATCTCAGGATAAATAATACCCAAATTTGTAACAAAGTAGATGGCAAATTCCTTGGCATTCTCATTGACCACAAACTGAATTTCCAAGGACACATTCTTAATATATCAAAAAAAGTTTCAAAAACTGTTGGCATTCTTTCTAAGATCAGATATGTACCTCGCCCTGCCCTGGTGACGCTCTATTACTCCCTCATCTTTCCTTATCTCATCTTTCCTTATCTCAACTATGGTATTTGTACTTGGGGTTCTCCTACCCAAAATCATGTCCTCTAATTACTCAACACAAAGCTGCTATTAGAACAATATCCAACTCTGGCCCCAGACATCACTCGGTACCCCTACTCAAATCTCTGAATATGTTAGATATCAAGTCACTGCACATCCTCTCATGTGTATTATATATATAATATATATATATATATATATATATATATATATATATATATATATATATATATATATATATATATATATATATATATATATATAAATATATAAATATATAAATATAAAAAAAACACTGAACTGTAATGCCAATCCTGACCTTAAAAGCTTCATTGAAGGTTGTAACAGAACCCATGAGCACCACACCAGAAACAAGTACCTTTTTGATATTCCAAGAGTACGACTTAAACTAGAAATGCTCTAAAATTCAAGGGACCCAGAATGTGGAATGACCTTCCCAATCATGTTAGACTGTACCTCTCTCAACCAGTTTAAGATAAAAACTAAGCACTACCTAATTAACTCCCTGTAACCTACCTTTCCCCTATAATGTCAAACCATGTCTGTTATTTTTTAAACAATGCTGTTTGTCGACCAATTTGTATTTTTGCTGTTTTTCTGCCATGTTCCCCCCTTTTTTTATTTGTTTATTTTCTCAACACATTTTATACTTTAATCTCAGTTAGTATTAAGTTTTTAGTCTTTAGTGTTTTTCCTGCCCGAAATGCTTTGCGTAATAGTGGCTTTAGGCATTGTATGTACTAGCTCTATCTATAAATTCATCAATATTTGTATCACCCCATGTATGTATGTACTTTACCTAAATAAACATTTGAATTTGAATTTGATTAAGCCACCAAAGAGGTGGCACGGGCATGAATAGCCCGTAAGTGCTTTATGTTGTTGTTTAAGATTCAGCTACTGGGAACAAAAAGTTCCAAGTAGCACGGGCTATGGTGAGCCCGTAGTGGACTTACCTGGCACAGGAGCGGGGCTGTAACTTGATGATGTATATCAGTGCTTTTTGTCTCATCGTCCCTTTTATAACCAGCAGGCAACCAAACCCGGCCACTGATTGGTTGACAGTCACCCTAAAACTCACCCCATTGGTTAACATTTTGCGAGTCTGAAGTGTCAATTAACAATGGTCAACAGCCACTCCTTCACTTCCCCAAATACGAAAGAGTCTTTAATGAACCAATAATGATCCCCAGCTTGAATGTTTGAAGTTGTTAATTCAAAAATCTAATCCACAAGCCAAATACAATATCCTATTGTAAATGTTCCAACAGAACAACAGGTACAACAGAGCAACATTTGCAACAGAATTGTTAGTGACGTAGTAATTGACTGTCTGTCAAGAACTGTTAATGGCTGCTCGACAACTACAATGTACAGTATATGCAATAACAAACTTAAGAAATCAAATAACTCGGCTTATATATATATATATTATATATATAAGAACTTATATATATAAGTTCCTGACACAACACTCGATCATGTTAAATATTTTCTTTCAACTGACTTAAAGATATTGCTCGTTATGACAAATTAAGTGATTTTAACTTATTGAAGTGTGAACATTTATGCTTTATAATAAATATTAATGTCCAGGATGACATTGTTCAGAATATTTTTTTTTTTTTTTTTTTTTTGAGATATATACAAGAGTTGTTACATTCTTGTACAATATTATTCTGCACAAGTGGTGTCTCCTCTCGTCTTCAAAACAAGACTTCCTGTCACCTTTCTCACTCTTCCTGTCTCTGTCTCCCAAAGGTACTCCTAGAGCGCCTGGAGTACAAGTCTCAAGACGAGACTTATAGGATGCCAGGCCAGTCTATAACACAATTATATGTATTTGTTTAAATTTGCTCTGTACAGAATATTGAAGATTATGTTCACACATACACTGTACAAAAGCAACTAATTTGTGCTCTATATAAAATTATCTCTTATTTAATGTTCACATGTTAATATAAGGGAAAAGAAAAAAAATAACTAATGGTTTTTATTGTTTCCAGGTAAGAAACAAACTGGAATGTCAAACAGTCGGCTCGCCAGTGACCTTAGAATTAGCTATCTTATGGTAAGAGAACAAATACAGCTTTGTTTATTTTCTAATGTTAGCTGATGTACAGGTGAAAACTACCAATTTTTAAGCTAGTACTCAACATAAAGAACTAATGAAACTAATTATAAAAGTGAGTTGAATGGTATAATTTGCTGAAGAATTAACTAAGCAATTATTACAACAGTAAATGTGAGCAGTAATAATGTGCCATTTCCAATAAAAAATACTGTATACATCTTTAATAACATGACCTGAATCTATTCTTGTAATATAAGAATACACGGTAGTTTTTTATATCTATATACAGTATAAAGGTAGTTCTGATTGATTTCATTCAGTTGTGTTAAAAGTCTGGAAAGTCTGACCTAGGTATTAATAATCTCGCATTGCATGCTCACATTCTCCTTTATAATGACGTTCCTCTTGGCAAAATATGTAGAGTAATACCTTAGTAAGTTGGTAATTCCCTAGACCCACATCAACTGATTATTTTTAACAATATTAAAATTCTCTTATATACTGTATTTTATAAATTTGTCAAAATACAATATTCATAAGAAACTGCTTACTTTTTCTTAATTTTAATTATGCCAAACTTGTAGCTGCATTTGTAATTTGGTACCTGACCTAATTTATAATTGTATGTATAGATATATATATATAGATATATATAAAAGAAGAAGAATAATTTAAGTCTTAGTAAAGCCTGGTAATCCATCTGCTCAAAAATCAATGAGTTACAATAACATGATTTTAAATAAATATTTATATATCTTTAAGGATATTTGACATGGTTAAAGCTATGTGAGAAAGAAAATAAATTACCATATCAATTTCTTAATCCAATACAAATGTATATTTAATGGCCACCTCAAAAGCTAGGTAAGCCAACTGAAATTGAAATATAATATAATTATGAAAACATTAAAAAGATAACACCAACAAATTACAAATGCATGTACAATACTGTATTTCCAAATGCTTATCCTACATTCATGTAGTATCTGGTCATGACGATCCGGCCAATGGTCACATTGTAGCTGTCTTTATATACAGTCCAACACTATCATAAATTACAGATATATAAAAATACAATGCACTTGCTTTGGATGACAACTCTGTTTCTCACTCAGATTCAGCTTGTGACAAGATAATTCAAATTTCTTTCATAATATGAGAATAGTAATTAACCTGTTCATTCACATTATAAATAAAGCTTTTAAGTTATCCATTGTCACACCGTTGCATTATATTAAATATGACTAACCAGCAATGCAAATACAAATAGCTTAATGTCTTCAAGGCCTTTTAAAACTGGCTTGCAACACTTTCTTGTATCTCATCAAGAATTCTAGGCCTAATATCTCATAGTTTGTTATGCAATACACAAGTACTGTTATCCACAATTACTTTAAATATTCATGAGTGAATACACTGAATTTACTAGAGTTTTTAGCTATATATTGTTAGTCCTATATGTAACTAATAATAGAAATAGGACCTATACAAGTGTATTAAAAAAAAACTCCCCATCTCTCTATATAGTGCTCCAAAAAAGTCTGAAGAGCAGTGGCAAAGCTATCCACATTGCAAGGCTGGTTCACAGCAAATTCCTGTTGAGCTATTATCTACTATTCAGTTAAAAAAAAAATAGTGGGATAAATTTTGAGCTGTGCATATGAATTATATTTATGGGCCAAATAATCCTATCTAATCCCAGTTCTTTGCTTTCATACATTTTATGTTTGGGCTGGCAGTGGCTGCATCCAACAGAAATGCAAAGTTTACAGTCATCACCTTGTGACCATATCAGCATATACAGGCCACTTAACTAAATTGAGTATGAAGTATTTTTGTAATATAGCTTTAAGAGCTGTAAATTGTATCAGCTTTACACACAAAACTGATATATTTGAAATTAAAAATTTTTGATCGTATCTCCAGGTGTGTTTTGAAATACTTTAACAGGCTATTTTTGAATATATAAAAACTAATACAGTATTCTGACCATATCATAATTCCATGCGACACACTGGTTTCTCAAACAAATGAATGGTCTTCGGGTTAATCTTCTAAGATGTTACAACCTTAAACTTTACTAAAAGAGCTCAATTCGTGTTATACACCAATTATGCCTAGCTCTTTACTTGGTTATTGAATACCTAAATTTCCAGAAAAGCAAGTAACTGCTGACAAAGTCACAAATGGAGAGGAAAATTACATTGTTAAATAATAAATGAAATCTTATATCTCACCTGTCAACCGATACATGAAATCAGAAATCTCAAGGTCAGTCGATAAAAATATATCTGACTAGTAACATTCACATTATGGGAAATTTCATAATTGAAAACCACACACAGTACTATTTTAATGCAGCATCTGTAGAACATAATACATTACTAATAAATATGATCCTTTATAAAGTAACCTTTAACATTATTGTAATGTGCTTGGCAGCATTATAATGAGTACAATCCTACTCTCAAGCGCCAAAATAAAAAATGTATACAGTATATATATATCTTGAATGCTTAGTTGTCCAAATTCAACTTTGCTATGAGATTATATATTTGTTTACATAAAGTCAAACACACAACAACCAAGTCATCAAGAGGAGCATAAATTAATAACTTACATTGCATTACATACACATATACTATAGTTTAAGTACAAAAGTTACACAATATTTACAGAGAACTAGTTCAGACTCTTAAACACCACCTGAGGGCTAGCAACTGAGTGATCTCTGAAGCAATAATTTCTTAAAATGTCCATATACCGGTACACATTCATTAGCTGTTACTAAACCTCAAGCAGATAAATTTGACAGACGTAAGTGATTGATGCAGCAGACTGAAAGACCACAATTCTGAGAAAAATCTAAGTGTGAAAAATATGGAACCTTTCCATGAAAAAGTTACCTGGTCCCATGTGTTTGTTCATAATGCTCATTCCATGACTGCTGTATTTTAATACTGGCAGAAAACAAATTGAGTACTTATTAAACAAATTTGAAACACAAGTTTTATCATCTTAATCTATGCAGTTTGTGTACAATACATATATAGATGCTCATATTTTGAGATACCTTTATGTAAACCTTAAGATATGCATATTTTTTTCAAACATTGGCTATTCTGCTCATGGCACAAGGTCCTGGTTTAAGCCTACTAACCAATTTGTTAAGCACTGTTTGTGGATCACGTTATACTAGCCTGAGAGCTACCCACGGGGAAAGGCCATCTGGTGTGGTCCCTGTGGTTACTTATTGTCTTGTACTCGACTAGTATCAAATTATACCAAACGTTTTCGATATGAATCTGTGTTTCAAATAATATATCAAAATATCTCAGTGGCAGTAGAATTATAGCATAGGAATTACTTGGTCATTCTTGGGGAGTTCTAGGAATGAGGTTGCAGCAATTTTAGTGGTTTTGCATACATTACTAGTGCACCTCATGTGTTCCAAAAATCTTCCCCATTACATGATAATAGTTTCAAAATGAAATAATGTAATATTCTTACAAAGTATTTACTCTGTAAGTGCCATTTACATTGACTAATAGTTTAGTATTGTATATCTAATGCATCTAAATCTATCCACCCTGTTGATAACACATTTACTGTGTTTAGTTGAACGTTCGGAAAACAGGAGAACACACAAATGAACAAACTTCGGCACATCGTTCAGCGAACATCAATCTGAGTCGCTGGCATGAGTATTGCTAAACTGGTGTCACAGTGATAGTCTCAATATCTCCAATACTCTTTACACGACGATGTGTCTCATGATGCACATAAACACCAGAAGGCATGATAGTGGAACGAGGGCGACCATGAGTTGCTCGATGAGCATTAGTCCTTGCTATTACAGCTGGGGAATGCCCTCCTGAGGAAGAGGACTCACCACCATTACCTGATATGGCAGCCTCCTCACGTAAGCGAAGACCAAGAGCACGACTTAAAGACCCCTGGAAATAAAGTACATATGGTGTTAAAATTGTTCAGTGATAAGAAAATCTGCATAAGTTTAGAATTTGTCTTTATCAATTATAAAATTACTACATTAAGTAAACCAGTGTGTTAAGGAATTTTTTGTTTAATCATAGGAGCCAAGAGAAATTCCAGACTAAAGAGAGTGTAGGAACAGCCTTCTTCATAACATAAAGACGTGTAACCCTTAATTCTCTGATTTTCTTTCAATGCTGCATTTTAAAAATGACTTTCTTAATGCAATTACTACACTTGATTAAGACATTTTTATATTCAGCTAAACAAATAGTACAGATACTCTGTACTTAGTTTAATTTACTATTTGCAATTCATTTCCATACATATATTAATAAAGTTAATTTTATGATAAATAGTTGCACTGTTTACATAATAAATTATGATAATATCCAGTAGATAAAAAATAATTACTGGTGCATGAATGTTTTATTCTAAAACTCATTTGAATGGTGTGCAACACCTGACAGTGTAATTACCTAAGTGTAGTTACAGGATGAGAGCTATGCTCATAGTATCCCATCTTTCCAGTACTCTTTGTCATATAACGCTTTGAAACTACTGACAGTTTTGGCCTCCACCACCTTCTCGCCTAACTTGTTCCAACCGTCTACCACTCTGTTTGCAAAAGTGAATTTTCTTATATTTCTTCGGCAGCTTTGTTTAGTTAGTTTAAATCTATGACCTCTTGTTCTTGAAGTTCCAGGTCTTAGGAATTCTTCCCTATCAATTTAATCGATTCCTGTTACTATTTTGTACGTAGTGATCATATCGCCTCTTTTTCTTCTATCTTCTAGTTTTGGCATATTTAATGCCTCTAACCTCTCCTCGTAGCTCTTGTCCTTCAGTTCTGGGAGCCATTTAGTTGCATGTCTTTGCACCTTTTCCAGTTTGTTGATGTGCTTCTTAAGATATGGGCACCATACAACCACTGCATATTCCAGCTTTGGTCTAAAAAAATTTGTGAATAATTTCTTTAATATTTCTCCATCCATGTATTTAAAAGCAATTCTGAAATTGGAAAGCATAGCATAGGCTCTTCACATAATGTTCTTTATGTGGTCCTCAGGTGATAGTTTCCTATCTAGAACCACCCCTAGATCTCTTCTCAGAATTTTTTTTAAAGCTTTTTCACATAATTTCTAGGTTGTGTGGGGTCTGTTTTCTCCTATTCCACAACATGGCATTTATTCACATTAAATTCCATTTGCCAAGCGGTGCTCCATACACTTATTTTGTCCAGGTCTTCTTGAAGGGCATGACAATCATCTAATTTCTTACCTTTCCTAGTACCTTGGCATCATCAGCAAATATGTTTATATAATTCTGTATTCCTTCTGGTAATTCGATTATGTAGACAAACATTACTGGTGCAAGAACTGAACCCTGTGGTACTCCACTCATGACATTTCTCCAGTCCGATACATTGCCTCTGATTCTGCCCTCACTATCAGCCCTCTTATTTCCTTATTTTCCAGTGTCTTAGTGAAACTGTCAAAAGCCTTTTTTAGGTTCAGACAGATGCGGTCAACCCAACCATCTCTTTCCTGTAAAATCTCTGTGGCTCGATCATAGAAACTGAGTAAATTTGATACACAGGATCTTCCAGATCGAAAACCATACTGTCTGTCTGATAATATATCATTTCTCTCCAGGTGTTCAACCCATTTAGCTTTTATTATTTTTTTCAATATTTTGACTATTACACTTGTCAACGATATGGGTCTATAATTGAGGGGGGGTCTTCCCTGCTACCACTTTTGTAGATTGCCTATACTGATTACAGTTTTGTGTCTTTTGGTCTCTGGGGTAAAAGACCGGCAAAGGGGAGCCGGTCGGCCGAGCGGACAGCACGCTGGACTTGTGATCCTGTGGTCCTGGGTTCGATCCCAGGCGCCGGCGAGAAACAATGGGCAGAGTTTCTTTCACCCTATGCCCCTGTTACCTAGCAATAAATAGGTACCTGGGTGTTAGTCAGCTGTCACAGGCTGCTTCCTGGGGGTGGAGGCCTGGTCGAGGACTGGGCCGCGGGGACAGTAAAGCCCCGAAATCATCTCAAGATAACCTCTGGCCCTCTTGCAATTTCTGTTGAACCAATCCTGTTTTCTGGCCCTGCATCTCTGTTTAGGTATGAATGTTGTGTGCCTTTATCATATATTTTGCAAAATTTGGCATACCTCTCATTTACTTCCCTGCCTAGCAACACGTCTGTCCAATAACACTCATTAAAAAATTTCTGAAATTCCCCATAGTGTCCTCTCTTGAAATCAAGTTTATCAACTCCCATTTTCTTCTAGGTGATATCTTAATGCATATTTAATGTCTAACAAGACATGATCATGCTTTCCCAAGTGATGTGTGCCCATGTGTGTGTGTGTGCATATTATATATATATATATATATATATATATATATATATATATATATATATATATATATATATATATATATATATATATACATATATACATACATACATACATACATACATACATACAGTACACCCTCGATTCAACGTACCCCGATTAAACGAATCTCCGGCTAATTCGCACACTTTTCAGGCCGGATTTACTCACCCAGTTCGACGAAGCGGGGGATGTTCGGACTTGCTTACGATGTCGAGACAGAGTTCACAGACTGGTGGAAAACTTTCCCATTCTATCACAGATTACAATTGATAATTTGCTCATGTGACAAGTTCGTTCACACAAGTGGACCACACAAGTGGGTCGCACAAGTGGTCCACAAATGGTCCACAAGCTTACGATGTTGGGACAGAGTTAACAGAGTGGTGGAAAACTTTCCCATTCCATCACAGGTTACAATTAATAATTCCTTCATATGACAAGTTGGATCACACAAGTGGACCACACAACAAGTGAACCATATGAACCAAACACCAGCCAGAGTGGTCCACACAAGTGAACGACTGAGTTTCAATGATTTTCATTCACTGATTTGTGGTACACGTATCCTTGTAAATTAATTTAAAGGCTGAAGCGTGAATAGCTAGCTAATATGTTGAAATCTTCTTATGTACATTTTCTGTGATGAAACAAGATGAGTGACGGTGGATAGATAAGGGAATACTGTACAGTAAACCTCACTTTACAGTGAGGTTTCACTCACTTTCGTCTGTGTCGTCATAATTCAATGACCATGACTTTGAATGTTTCAGATTAATAAATCATTTCTAAAACTGGTGTTTTAATAACTCTTTATTATCCTAATTAAATTAAACTAAATAAAACCAAAAAAATACTGTAATATGATAGATATCTGCTGTTTGAGAAATTATTCATGTTATTGGTGGCACAACTCCAGGGCGAGTGGACGGGTCTAATCCGTGTGCACACACCACCACGCATGTTTTGTTTGATTTCCTCGCCACAGTTCAGTGACCTACAGCTTCGAAATAATAAAATAATTAAATAAATTCTAAAATAAGTGTTTTTTATAGCCCTTATTATCGTAATAATGTTGCTAAACTAAATATATAACTAAAAAATATATAATTTGATGTAAATCGAATATTTGAGAGAAATTTATGTTACTGTATGTGGCTTAAACACCAGCCTACTGTAGGGTGTACATATAGACCCATTCTGCGTTCGTACAGTATGCACCCAGTGCCCTTAGCTTTGTCTGCGATTGACTTACAGTATTTATCAGCCAGTGGAAGAATAATCGTGGAATTTACATTTTATTTACTACAGCTGTATTGTTTTACAACAAAATGTCTCAGGAGCTTACTAATAGTGCCTTATTAATGCCAAAAATGAAACAATATTTTGCAAGAACTAGTAGCAGAAAATCAACCAGCACGAGAACAGCCATACCCAGCACGAGAACAGCCGTACCCAGCATAAGAACATTCGTCATTTGCATATATATATATATATATATATATATATATATATATATATATATATATATATGTCGTACCTAGTAGCCAGAACTCACTTTTTGGCCTACTATGCGAGGCCCGATTTGCCTAATAAGCCAAGTTTTCCTGAATTAATATATTTTTTCAAATTTTTTTCTTATGAAATGGTAAAGCTACCCATTTCATTATGTTTGAGGTCAATTTTTTTTTATTGGAGTTAAAATTAACGTAGATATATGACCGAACCTAACCAACCCTACCTAACCTAACCTAACCTATCTTTATAGGTTGGCTTTGGTTAGGTAGCCAAAAAAGTTAGGTTAGGTTAGGTTAGGTAGGTTAGGTAGTCGAAAAACAATTAATTCATGAAAACTTGGCTTATTAGGCAAATCGGGCCTTGCATTATAGGCTGAGAAGTGCGTTCTGGCTACTAGGTACGACATATATATATATATATATATATATATATATATATATATATATATATATATATATATATATATATATATATATATATATATATATATATATATATATATATATATATATATATATATATATATATATATATGTATATATATTATTAAATATGACCGAAAAAGTAAGATTAATAATTCTAACACAAATTTTCTCAATCTTTCGTACATTTCTTTTCACTATTGGTGGTAATTCAAAAATCAATTCTCCAAAATTCATTTTTATTTCTAGTCTGACGCGACACTTGAGCGCGTTTCGTAAAACTTATTACATTTTCAAAGACTTTCAAAGACTTATAAAACCAGAAAAACGGCCAGCCTACTCATGAGAAACTCTCCAGACACAAAGCAGAACGCTTTAAAAGAGACCAACGTCGTCTATGCCTTCAAATGCCCTCTTGGGGACTGTAAGCTCCAAAAATCCCAGTATATAGGCAAGACAACAACATCTCTTTCTAGGCGTTTAACGATGCATAAGCAACAGGGCTCCATTAAGGAACATATAATCTCTTCCCACAACCAAACCATCGCCAGAGAAATCCTAGTAAACAACACAGAAATCATCGATAGATACAGCGATAGCAGGCGGCTTGACGTTTGC